AAGCAGGGAAATAAAATTGCGAAGAAGTGTGGCGTTGGTGCCCCCTCCTTTCCTTCTCCCTAATTGTGTGTTGTAACCGCGGATGCATCGTCGATGTGTGGTGTTTTTTGTTTTTATTTTTGCCGTAATCATCGTTTTTGTGCCTCCGTGTGCACGACTGGTGAGATGATCGCTGCTCATGTAGAGCGGGGCTTTGCGGCAGCGAGGTGATGGTGGGGCGTAGCACACGCACGCACACTCTCTCTCTCGACTGTGGCTCTGCTGCTAGCTTCTTCATTTGCTCTCTTCTCCGCTTCTCCTTAGCATAGCGGGTGTCCCGTGCTGCTGACCGAGTGGTAGCGGCGGCAGCAGCTGGCAAAGGGGTGGGTGGGTAGGAACGGAGGTGGGCGTTGGATTAAATATACCAAAGTAGGCGACTAAACAAACGCCCACACAGGAAGCAGGAGTGAAAACAAACGACTCTCCTTCATCCCACAGAAAAAAAAAAGGCGAAAAAAAAAGAACAATGATCATCCCGGTTCGCTGCTTTACCTGCGGCAATGTTATTGCTGACAAGTACTTGCTGTACCTTGACCTAGTGGCGGAGGGAGTGGCGGAGGAGACCGCGTTGGATGCATTCAACTTGCAGCGCTTCTGCTGTCGCCGCATGTTTCTCACGCATGTGGACTTCTCAGATCTACTGCTGAAGTTCAACCCTGCTGACACAAACGTGATGGTTCATGCGCCTGGACTTCACTGAGGAGGCGATCATTCTCTCTTTATTTTTCTCGCTTCATCCGGCGCCGTCTTTTATTATTCATTTGGTTGCAGGGGAGGAGCGTCCAAAACAGGCGGACGTGGCGGAACGAAGAACGGCAGCAGCTACAACGGCAGCAACAACAACAGAAAAAGATACGGCAATGAAATGCGCCTGGAAAGAAGTTTCTTTGGATTTGGTTTCATGTCACTGCGGAGTTCGAGAATATGAATGAGAGGGTTTTTGAAGGCACACGTGTGTTGCGCCTAGTTGCGTAAGCTGTTTTTTTTTTCTTGTGTGATGAGTTAAAGCTGGCCTTCTTACAGATCTGGAGGCTTGCATTTTTTCTTTCCTTTTCTTGGGCCGCCTCGTGACGTTGTGTGTGTGTGTGTGTCTACGTGTCTATGCGCTTCTTTGTGTCTGACTGGCTCTGTCTCTTTATTTCTGCGTTTATTTTCTCTCCTTCTGCTTCATTGCATTTTTTTTTCTGGGGGGGGGGGTTTGCTTCCACTTCTAGTGCCGGGACACAAGTGATTGTGTGGTTGTGCCGTGTGGGTTCGGCTCGCTCCTCAGCAAGAAAAGGAAGAAAAAAAAGTGTGGACCGCGTCTGCACTTTTTTGTGGTGGTACCGGAAGGAGTTGCGTGCGTAAATAGAGGGAGAGAGAAGCGCGGGGGGACACCGCCACCAGGTACGCCTCCCCGTGTTTCTCCGACTTCTCTGCCCGTTGCGCTTTGGCCCCAGTCGCCCCCGTTTCGGCCCAACAGTGAACGGGGCAGAGGGCGCTTCAACACCGACACGAGGAATAACACTGCCGCGGCACGAGGGAAGAAGCAGATATGTCCGCGGCGGCCGCAACGTTTCCCGTGACGCGCGCGCGCGTGGACCCCCGACGCAAGGTGGGTCTGGCAAACGCGGTGGCGCAGGGCAGGCTGCTGTACCACGTGGGCATCATGAGCGAGAGTGAGCTCGACGCCATACGGCGCATTGCGAACGAAGACGGGGGTGCGTACGACGCCTACCGGCGACAGGAAGACGCGCGTCGGCGGGAGGCCTCCGCGGCGCGCACCGCCTTGTGGCCGGACACAATTCAAGCGAAACAAGAGGCGTTTCTTCGCCGGCGCAAAGATGATAAGCTGGAGGAGGAGCGTCGTGCGAACCTCCTCCTGGAGTTGGAGGCGCAGCAGCAGGCGGAGGAGCGGCGGCAGCGAAAGGCTCAACTCGCCTTGAAGTATTTGAAGGAGGACCCACGCGGTCGCAATGTGCGTAGTGTGACGATGCTGCACGAGGCGATAAAGGACCGTGAGGCACAGATAGCCTTTAAAAATGAGCTTAAGCGACAGGAGGAAGAGAATGCAAAGGATGAGCAAGAGGCGTTACTCCGCGAGCAGGGCGAAGACCGCCTAAAAGAGCAGCAGGAGAAGTTTGCGCAACGCTCTCGCAACGTAGCGGAGAAAAATTCGCACCTGCAGCAGATGCTCTTTCAGATTGCGGAGCGAAAGAGGGTACGAGCCGAAGAGAAGCAGATGCGCGCGGACTTGAATCGCGGGGCGGAAGAGGAGGTCCAGGACAATCTTGAGGAGGCAAGGGCGCGGCGAGAAAAGATGGCTGTCGTGCATGAGTACAACCGTAGTATCGCCAAGCCGCCGCTCACCAAACACGACAGACTCCGTCAGCGTATTCAGCGCGAGGCAGGGGACGACGCCGCACGCGCGCTTCAAGAAGAGAAGGTTGACGCCATGAAGCGAGCTCCAATGGAACGGCTGAGGATGAAGCAGCAGTGGTTTGAGAAGTGCAAGGAGCAAGCACACCTTGCCTTTACGAAGGAAAGAGAGGCAATGCGGCATAAGGAGCGTACCCAAGATGTATTTGAAGAACGTGGCACGAGCATGACAGCAAATATGGCTGCTGATGAGGAGCGCAGAAAGCAGGAGGCGTTGGAGGAGCGGCGGCGTCGCAGGGAAGAGTTTCTGCGCGTAACGAATGGTGAGGTGGAGGAGCTGCCGGAAGGAGTACGACGGGCGGCAACGCACCGCGCCGGATTCATGAGCGAAGCGGAGGCACAAGAGTACCAGAAGGAGATGCAAACCCATCCAGCACGCGTATTGGCAGAGCAAAAGGCAGAAGCAGCGAAGAGGCGCGAAAAGGCGGAGCTGCTGCAGCGCATTCATCGCCTACAGGCGTCGGAGAAGAAGGAGAATGAGCGACGCGAGGCGGAGGAATTGGTAGAGGCTAGACGACGTCAAAAAGAGGCGATGGAGGAAGACGACGAACGCTACCGCTCGTACGTCAAGTCGCAGCTCCCCCCCGACATGGACCCGTATTTGTACGCAAAGGCCATGCACCTACACTCTTAAGTTTTGCTGAATTCTGTTGTGCGCCGCGGAGGAGGCGGGGAGGCAGAGGCAGACGAATAGAGAGGATGCGGACGAGGGTGACGGGCCCAACGCTCACACAATCGTGGCACTTGAGTGCTCCAGGAGGAGAGAAAGAGAGAGAGAGAGAACAAACAAAAAAAAAGTGGGGGAATGGAGGGAATATCGCCGCATATATTAATGTATATATAGAGTGCTGTTTCTTTTTCCCTTTAGTAACCAGGTAGAAGAAGAAAGGGAGGGAGGGAGGGCGAGGAGGGTGCGGGGGCGCCGACGGCAGTGCATGAGTGCTACTGCGAGGGTGTTGAGGCATCGAGAAGGAAGTCGGTGGATCGTTGTTTGAATCTTCCCGCCGAGGATTCCACACAACTTGGAGGCTTATTGCTCCCCAAAACTCAGAGATGTATTTGTAGCGCTTGTTTTCTTGTTTTTGTGTGGCTGTTGCTTTTCCTTCTTGTTTTTGTTTGTTGGAGTTGCACGGCAAGAGGCCTTGTGACTCGGGTCACTGTTTGCTGTGGATTTTCCTTTTTTTTTTCTTATCTGTGTGTGTGTGATTACCTGTACGTGCGAAATTGACGCGGAAGGCGGTGACACGGGTGCAACTCGCATGCTGCGGCGCACAGCCCGACTGGGCGGGCGATGGCGGGGATGAGAGAGAGACGGAATGAGAGGTGCAGACACATGGGAGGGAAAAGCGTACAAGAGTTGTGTCCCTGACGTGGACGGTGATACGTTACTCCGGGTGATCGCTGTGTATGCTGAGAGGATTCACTCTTGATTGAAGGCTACTCGTACTTTGTCTATCCCTTTTCCTTTGTTTATGTTTGTTGTGCAAATGCCTCCACTGCAAGAAGACCAAGACAGTGCGCTCGTTCGCCCACACACAGAGAGAGAGATAAAGGGAGAGCGAGAAGGAAGAGACTCAACAAAAAAAAAAGGAAGAAAACAAAACGAAGGTGAGACACTGTGCGTCTGTCTCTGTGGCCTGCACCAACCACAATCTCCGCAGCAGCGGCAGCAGAGCTGGCGAGATTATCGTGAGTAACAGGCAAGGCAACTTCTGCACGAAAGTCCTTTCTCTTTCTATCATCGAGTTTGATTGAGGGACTCGCTGCGGACGCACACACGCAATTTTAGTGGCTCAAACAAGGGGTGGTTGACTTCTCCCGTGTTGTTATTTATTCCGGCGTGCATCGGCACTCGTCGCTGAGCGGTGAATTTATTGATTTCTTATCGAACTTCAAGGGAGGAGCAGGCTTCTTCATCCCTCTAGTAGGACTTTTAACGGTGGGGCACGCTGGGAGTTGGCGGCGCCTCTCACGGCTGTGCGTGCGCTTATACCTCCTGCCGTCACAGTCAAGGCGAACAAACCCCTCAAAATAAGGGGAGGGGGGACGGCAGAGGCAGGAGCAAGCAGGTAAAGAAAGAAACAAAGGAGGATAGGAGAAAAATAAAACAAAAAAGGGAAAGACAAGGGGCGCGACGGAAACAACTCGAAGGGAAGCCAAAGGAACGAGAGGCGGCTAGGAAGGAAACGGCTGAGAAGAAGTGCGAGGGAGCGGAGGAAACACAACTGCCAACGCGCGCGCGCAAAGAAAAAAAACGAGGGAAAGGGAGGAACTGCGCGGACAAAGAAGTCAAATAAATTTTTACGGAAAAAGTCGGGTGGGCGGGGAGGGGGACGAGGGGATGTTTTTGGGCGCAAGAAAAGCACTTGCACCACGGCGCAGTGTTGTCTTGCAGGTGTCCCTTTGCCTTATCCTTCTCTTCGCCTTGGATGCAACCCGCGTCGATGCGCACATCACCGGTGCCGTATCTTGGCAAACTGCCAGTGGCGGTGGTTTGAGAAGCAAAGGTTTCTCCACACCGTGTTTTTCCAAGGATGGGAGAGTGTCGGGCTTTGTGGAGATTACCTCGGGCACGGACACTTTACGGCTGCGAAACGTCGATGGAACAATTAAGGCGGAGGTCACAGAGAGCTCGCTGCTGGAGTGTAGGGAGCCCACGGGTGTTTTCTTGTTCAATAATGGCCCAAAAGTTTTCATCTTCTGTGGCGGAAAAGCAATGTTTTTAATGGTGATCTTGGGCGGGATTCTTGATCCCCTTCGCGTGGTGGAGGTTAAAACCGGCTCCGCCTTTTTGATGTCTTCGAACTTTCCTCCAACCCCGTTGTTGCTTGTCCGCGGCGAAACGGCGGAGCAACGAACAGACGCCGTGCTTGCGGTGTCGAACAATAATGAGGGGAGCTGCATTGGTCACTACACTCCTGATAATAATTTTGTCCTGTGCAATCGCGACCCCATTATGGACTTCTACTTCCCAGCATGGGTGCCCAGTACCGATGCGAGACCTGATCCAGACCGATACCTAATCACCGAAAGGATGTCAGACTCAGGCCTAAGACTCGACAGTTACTACCTTCCAAAGTTTACATCTGATAGCACACCCAACGCGACGACGAAGCTGGAATTTGTTCCCAAGGAAGCAGTCTTACACTCCAACCTGAATGATGCCAGCGACTCCAATCCCCTCATCGCATACGTGCAGGCAACCAACGCCGACAACTTGAAGTTGGCCCTCATCGTCGTTAACCCACTTACTTTGGAGAAGGTAAAAGTTGGATCCATCACACCCCGCGTCTCCTTGAAGGAACCTTCCATGCTGATGCAGGTGTACATGGTACTAAGTGACGGTAAAACTTACTTGATAGTCCAAACATCTTCATTGTTATTAAAGTTGGATTACAATTCATTGCCCGATGTGGATCGCCCAGTGTGGGCGGTGGAGGCTTCAACGTCAGCGGGTTTACTTTTCATGCCTTTGCGGGACTTGAACGAATGGAATACGGAATGGCATCGTCAAATGTTGTCACCATCTTTTACCGATTATAGTCCATATCATCTTATTAAGGCAACCGAGTTTCAATCCATTGTGTCTGGTAAAAATGTCTCTGTATTCAGTGTTTCAACTGGAAAGTCCACCATAAGCTTCAACCCTCTGTGGACTGAATCCGCATTCTGCGACAGGAATGATCGTATGGCTGCCTTCACGGCCTTTGATGGATCTCTGGCATACTTGGGGTGTGAGGGCAGTGGGCACTACAGCTTGGTTGATCTTTCCTCTCACAAGGCATACTACCCTATCGCATGGCCAACCATGAGTGTATTCGGGACTGCGCCATTTGGGTATGGCATTGATCAACATTCTGTAGTGCTATCCAATGGAACTAGGTCTGTGGGTATCGATTTGAAACCGTTGTTGCTTTATAGTGAATCTGTTTTGACGCCACAACGAGCACCCCCGGCTGGCGCGTATCACCGAGGTCAATTTTCTCTCGTAACAGCCGACGCCAAATCTCCTGGCGAGATGCGCTTCTATTTTTACGTCTATGATACGACTGGAACTACTGCGGGTGGACACGACCCCCTTCCCCCTACTGCTGGACCAGTGACCCTTTCGAGTAATGTGACTTTGGCTCAACCTTTTACGGCATTTTTTGGTGACGGAAAGCGTTACGTTGCCGTCTCAGCAACTCCAGGCCTTCTCTCCATCTTTGCAGCACGTGATGGTGCACATGTGGCCGACTTGAACCTCACTGATTGTGCTCCAGATGGACCAGGTCGGACGTCTGACGTGGTACAGTTTATGAAAACCGTACAACATCTAGGAAGTCAAGATAATTATTACGTTGTGCTTGGTGGGACAGGGTCGTGTCTGTTTGAGGTGAATGATAGTCTGGTGCCTCGCATTAACAGCCTTCAGGGGGCTCAAGAAGGTGTTCTGGTTGGAACAACAACGTATAGTGGGTATTACTTTGAGCCTAAGCCCAGAAGATTGCAGGCCTTTACAAGCTTTTTTATGGCCACGCCTATTCCGGTCTATAAAGAAGACGGCATTGATGCTTATGTTGTGGGGTCAAATGTATTTGTGTATGTGAAGGCGAATATGATTACCTGCCGGAGCGTTCGAAGTGATATTACAGTTTGGTCACAGGCACTTCCTGAGAAGTTTCAAGCACCGGTTGTGCATATGGCGTACTACAACAACACGGTATTTGTGGTAGATCAGCGTAATGTTTTCCGTTTCGACGTTCAGTATAATGAAGCTGGTGCTACCGCTTCGCGGGTGCTTCTTCAGGTCTCTCTGATTGACACAATGGAGGCTGTGCTTGCGGCTGAAGTGAATCAAGGTACGGTTGTCCTCTATTCAAGTTCAACACTCTACGCCTATGACGCTGCAACCGGCGCACCACTCTGGAAAACCAAGCCGCGGACAACACAGGTGCCGAGCAACGCGAACGTAGAAATCGTTATTTACTCTCCAGAAGACGCAGGTGGCAGTAAAGGTAAGGTCACTGGTCCTGCATACGTTGAGGTCCGCGTAAATGTTGAAGCGCGAGGACCTGGATCACAACTTACCATGGTGGATGTATACTCGCTGGACAACGGAGATGTGTTAACAAGTGTGTCGGATGCGCCCAATGATCTCACTGGTCCTGTCATTTGGGGTAACAAGTATGTTACGTTTTCAACGCTGACTAAAGGGTTGGTGAGCTTTCGTGCTCTTAACCTTTTGGAGGTGAATATTCCAGAGCAAGTCAAACGCCATGTGGATTCTACTACGGATGTGTATGTGCCAGGAGAACCACCAATTGAACCACCACCACCGCATTTACCGCGTGGTGATACTTTGATGGCAGCTGCCCCTCCAATGACGTTCTCCGTAAGCGGTGATGCTGCGCTGATTTCAGATGATCGGACACGAGGGGTTGTAGGAACGAGTGGACGCAAGAACGCCGGGTACGAGTACAATGTGCGTTGCTTCCATGTGAGTGATCCACAAGGCACTCCGATACGTGCGTGGGCATTTCCTTCAACTTCGGTTCCGCTGCATGTCAAATTTATGGAATTTAACGCAAATAACTTCGCCATTTTTGCACCTAACCGAGTTCAGTTCTACTCATGGTCCACTTGTGAGGAGGTTGGGGCATCCATTCAGCTAACTGGGGTTGTGGACGGTTTACCATCCTATGTCAGCCTTGGGGCCCAGGATCAGTGGCTCTACCTTAACGGCGATCAAGTAACCGCCTTGCAACCCTCTACAGGGAAGGAACTGTGGCAGACGGGTGTAAAGAGATGCCTTTCTATTCGACGCCAGGGTGGCTATATCATTTGCGATAGTGGCTCGAATTTGGCAGTGCTAAACGCCGATTCAGGTGCCCTTTTGTTTGAAGATGCAATGGAAGGTGGTGTCGCAACTGCAGGAGCGAACTTTGCCGGTGTGGTGCGTGGCTCACGTGGATATGAGGCCGCATACTACTCAAAGTCGGAAAAAGTGTTTCATTCTCCGCTTTCTCTGCCAGGAAGTGCTGGCGGTGTGTTGGGAGCAATTCCCGGAGCATCCGATAAAAATGTTGTGGTGTTTTTTGAGAAGCTGGCAGCCTCGGTAACGTTTGACCCCGCCGCGAAGACGGCGTCACTGGTGTGGATCAATGACCTCAACGGTGAGCATGCACGACCTGGCGCGGCTGTTTACACCGGGGCCGGGAGGAGCAATATTGTTCTTGGGACCACAAATGGTCTGGTGATGCTTGATGCCAAGACAGGAAAGGGATTCGTGAATATCTCTTTGCCGATGCGCTACAAGGAGGATGTTAATGAGGTGCAAACGTTAAAAATGGTGACGGTGAGGGACAACACACTCTACGGCTTCTCATGGAACGGATATGCAGTTTTGGTTCGCGTAGGCCCAGATACTGCGGACGCATTCTTCGCCTTTTGGATTTGGTCTGCTGCGTGCTTCACAGGTTTCCTTCTCCAATAACTTTTTGGTGGTCAGCGGAGGAGGCTCAGCTGGTTTGCTTCCCGTGGAGAAGACATATTGGGGAGCCCCTCTGGCGGTCGCAGGTATGTCTTCGTTTGCCGCAAAGATTTTTATGGCCGGCTGGGATCAGACAAACGACACAGTTGTAAATTTGGTTGCCGTTACCGCTGGGGGGGAGAGGACGACTTTTGATGTTCCCCAAGAAACTTCCATCCTGGCCTCGTTATCCACGACGAATGCCGTCGCCTTCTTTGGTGAGAAGTCTATTATTACTCTGGGCGGCTTGGACGGATCCAATATGAAGTTTCTTCTTCCCCAAACCTGTGACGGAACGAAGCTGAGGGGAGTTTCACGCGGCGATTCCGTGAGTGGCGTCTCGCTAGTGTGGTACTCTGGCGAAGCCCGCGATTGTATCTTTGTCCTAGATGCAAAAGGCAAACCACCCACTTTCTTGGCAGGTCTTGGCGGAAAATACAGTGATGTGGTGAATGTTCGTTACGGTAATAGTTTTGGCTTGCTCACCTCAACCAGTTTTTCCGTCTTGAGCTACGACGGCACAGTAGTTGACAGTGCCGACGTGAACAACCCGGCCTACGTCTCGTCGTTGTCCTCAAGCGATAGTGGTCAAGGCATCTTTGTGGTGATCTCTGCTGAAAATGTGGTCACTTGCTTTCAGGTAAGTGGCTTGCTACGTGTTTGGAACTATACACTACACTCGGCGTCAAGGGCCCCAGTCACGTACTACAACGAGGGCATTTTTATTTCCACCGAGACTGGACCATTCTTTCTGACGCTGGAGGAACTCACCTATCCGTGTCGTGATCGAGCATTTTTTAATGTCACGCGTCTGCCCATGGAGGGCCGATCCACGCTGCACACAAAGGTGGTGGTGGACGAGGAGTACGCCATTGCATTTGTCACCACGTATGACACATTCTATGCCTTTGATGCCATGACAGGGGAAGTTATTTGGCAACGACAAGATCTCTTGGCGGTGGCTGACACCGTTGTCATTCAGGAGGGCATGGTGGTGGTGGTTAGCACCGAAAGCAGTGGCGTGGTGTTTCTAAATCCGTTCACCGGGGCCTCGCTATTGCACGTTGCCAATACTGGACCGCGGAGCGGTGAGATTTATCTTTCCGCGGATAAGACGGTTATGGGTTTTGGTGGTGTGATGTCCACCGCAATTAACATCACTGACTATGCACATTACTTTAGCGGGGTAAGGGCAAACCGTCCCAAGCGCCCAGCACCGCCAGCGTACAGGCCGTACAACTACGGTCCCAATGACCGGCCGAATGATTGCTCCAAACCAGACAGCGCGGGGATGCCCATCTACACAAGTTTGCCACAGCTCTGGGCCTCTGCGTCACACTACGGACAAACAGGGGCCAAGCAAAGTGTTCTTGCCATGACACCTGGACAGAGGAGCGGCTGGGTTGCCTCCTTGAGTGAGCGAACGGTGTACATTGCCCGTGCCTTGGAAGGCGCCTTTGCCGAGACCACGCGTTTTACCTTGAAGAAAACTGGATGTGACGTCTTGAATTTGTACGCCATCAACTCAGAGCGGGCCTATGTAAGCGTTAGGTGTGCCAAGGAAACATATTTTTACAACACTTCAGGAGCACAAATAGGGAGCATAAAGCGTGCAGCGAAGAACAGCATTTCCGTTGTCGTAAAAAGTAGTGGATATTTTGTGAACAGCGACAACGTGATTGAGGCTGTGAGTTTGACTAGCTTCCAACCACTGCCTGCATCTCCTGGTAAGGCCAAGTGTACGACGGAGTTTGACCTTCTTGCCGCTCCTCGACTAGAGCGTTTCCTATTTGTTTGCCACGGTGTGGGTGTTCAAGTCTTGGATTACGCATCGCTGGCACAAATTGGCAGTACAATTACCGCTGGAACGGATCAAGACCGCTTCACAATGTATGAGGTGGATGAAAGCCTTGCTGTGGCCGTCGCTTGCGGTGAAAGTGCCTCGGGTGTGTACATGGTGGCCTTCACCTTGGACACAACAGCAAAACTTGTCGTACACAACGAGACGGCCAAGGGCACCCCTTTTTGTGGTGTTAGGTATCCTGCGTATCCCAGCAACGCCGATCCAGTGATCGTCTTCGCCTACCCGAATGGGTACAAGACCTGGGTCGTAAAAGGTGGACAAATTAAGCTGTCAGAGGTGGTGCCCAATACCTATCCTGCAGCCATTACAAGCCATGGAGTGATTTACTACAACACAGGGTACGATTACTATTTCCGAGCTTACGGAGCATCGAAGAGTTCACTTTTGATCAGTTCGCAGGCAAAGCCCAGCGGAAGTATGATGGTAAAAGGAGCGGATGGTTTTAAAGTTACTCCGTTAGCCATCATCTATGGAAATGGATTCAGTTTTGCCGTTGACACCTCTGTAGCAAACCCCACAGCTCATTGGGGCGACAATGGCATGATTCAGTTCAAACCTGCAACACGTTTCGTCTCCTTTCCTCCGTTTGTTTACACGACAGCCGACAATTCGTTTGTGGGGCTTGCGATTCTCGAGGGTTCTTTTGCTGTTCAAGGAAATTTTCGAATGAATACGGCCCTGGTAAATAACGAGCAACGCGTGTTTTTGTCGCAAACAAGGACAATTGGCTGTATGAGCTTGGACGGCCGAGTGCTATGGAATCTCGGTTTTTCAAATGTTAATAGTCCGTACATAACATTCAGTCCCGTTGTGCTGAGTAATTCCGACTTTGCGCTCGTGTCCGGTGGGGTACTTGCAGCGGCAATAATCAACAAAAGAACTGGAGCAGTTGCGAGGACATTTCTGTTTGAGAGATGCAAAGTCGCTCCAGACTCTCCCGATGCTCATGTGGTTGTTAATGGAACTCTTGTGTACGTTGGAATTGTTGGATGGTCATGTGTGCACATTGTCGACCTCAATCTGCAGAATACAAGTGGCAAAATTACAGGACCGGAGGTAAAAGTATTGGAGGTGGAAGGTGTCATGGCTGGGCTTCTTCCAGGGTACCCGCTTTTGGCGAGGGTGGAGTATGCGAATCACTTAGTTTTCGCGATGGAGCCCGAAGGCGGTGATAAAAAACGTCCAACAGTTGTTGTGTACCGCGTAGATGACGTTTCCTCTTCTTCATGGACGCGACTTTGGGGGACGTCTGTGCGCCTTGACTTGGGTTCCGTCTCTACGTACGGCTACTTCCTGTACACTGCTGCGGGCGCGGTACTGAACGTGTACGATTTGCTGACGGGAAGATATGTTTGGGGGTATATTTTTGAAACAGGCGTTGCAGGACCAGTTTTGGGCGCAGATCGCACGTTGTATGTGGCCACGCAGGGTGGTCTCCAATCGCTTCGTTCTCCGCTGAGCATACCATGGTCCCTGCGTCGCATGGGCAACATCACCTTTCCAAAGCGCAGGGCCGAATCGCCGTCGACCACCGTTGTTGGACCGGTACGTACGCCTTATGGGCATGTTCTCTTCTCTAACGCTGCTGGCACGGTTGCCTACGCACACGAACGTGAAGGCCCCGCAACCAAATTGGCCTGGTACGCCGAAAAGGCTATCTATCGCTTTGGTAGGTCAGCTTTGAACGCCACCGCGGTGGTTGGCCTGTTTGACGCGACGGATGGCACGGGATTTCTGGATCTGACATCGGGCAGGATGCTGTGGTTGAGCGGCGTCTACCCATCGAGCGGCATCACCAACGGCGTCGCATTACCCCCAGCCCCGTTCTTCGTCTGCTCGTTTGTCATGAGTAGTCCGACATGTCGAAGGGTGCCTCTGTCCCTTATTGCTCCTCGCCACGCCCTCCCTTTGTACAGGTATGAGTCCGAGCCAACCGAGACGACACCGCCCGATTGGGACCCGATTTATCCAGACAGTAGTGGCTCCGTGCCGTTGCATCCATCACCGCGCTGCGTATCCATGATGCACGCCTACATTCCCCCATTTGCCAACTGTGTTGACAAGGCCATAGCAACCATTTACACGAACGGTAGAGCAACGGAGTTAGAATGCCCTAATTCCCTCGTTTTGATTAATAATTGCAAACACGCCTTACAGGAGTTGGCGGACGCGTGTCCTGACGTTGCTGCAAGTGTGATGGATAATTGGAAAAGACAAACTTTGGATGAGACCTCCCCCTTGGGTCTGTGTAAACCAGCAGAGGCAGAGGCGCGCTGCCACACGAAAGATGACTCGATATTATCTTTTACCTGCACCCTTGTGAGCTTGGAGTTTATCCTCAACGGCTACGAAAACCCCATTGGCTACGAACTTGGCTACCAGCTGCCAACATTTTTCTTTCCCACAAAACCGAAAACTGTGAACGTTGCTGCCATTGTAGGTGGGGTGATGACGGCCCTTGTCGTGATTGCCATTGGTGCGGCGGTGGGAGTGTACTACTACCGGAGAAAGAAGAAGGTGCGGGATGCACGCTTCTTTGATGACGACGTGGATGCCTCCCTGCTCGGCAGCGAGAGGAATGACCAGCCAATGAAGCCCATCTCCAACCGAAGTCACACGTACAGCTCAAAGGAAGGCTCAATCAACGCTGGTGGGGAGGCGTCACGCGCGCAGCAGCAGCAGCAGCAGCAACAGACTCCGCCGCTCTCATCTCCACCGGCACCCAACGGCGGCTTTCCTGCGACGCGGGAAGCTGCAGCAGTAAGAACTCCCGCAGCACCCGCACACGCACCGGCAGTAGCTGTCGGCCCTAAAAAGATGCCTCCCAAAATGCCAATGAAAATGCCGGGTAAAATGCCACCGACAAAGGCGCTTGGTCCTAAACTGCCGCCGCAGATGGCGGCGGCAAAAAGACCAGTGCATGGGGGGCCAATCATTGACGATGACCTGTAGTAATCTAATGTCCCTCTTTATTTTATTTGTTGCGTT